GCCCCGGCCGCCCCCGGCTAGCGACGCGTCACGTGAGCCGGGTGCGGAAGTCGGCGGGAGAGGTGCGGGCGTAGGAGGCGAGCCCACCCGTGCCCCTCCTGCACCGCCGCGCCCCTGCGGGACTTAACCGCACGCGGTCGGCCCCGGGCCAGCTCCGGCTCTGCACCTCCAGCGCGGAGACCCCCGGGTGCTCGCCCTCCAGCAGCCGCTCCCGTCCAGCCGGTAAACCCTGCTCACCTGCCCTGAGGACCCACTCACCTCCCGGCCTGGCTGTCTTTCCAGATGAAGAACTGGTGCCGCGTCGGTCCGCACCGGGGTGTCTTCGCAATGCGCTGAGGAAGGAAGTGACTGAGGCGAAGGGAACCGCTGCGGAGGGGAGGAGCGGCAGGGTGCGGGGAAAAGTAATAGTTTATGCGCTCAGGAAAGGGGCCGCCCACACTCCCAGGGACAAGCCTATGAGGACACTTAGGGGAGGAGACGCCCCAGAAGGGGGCAGACTGCAGACAGCTGGCCGGGCGGCCTGGGGTTCGAGGAACACGGACCCAGAGCTTCGATGACCGATTATCGCCCTCTTCCCTCCGCGCTACTCAGAGCCAACACTCCTCAACCCTGGGCATCAGATCCTGGCCGCGGACTTCCTGCCAGGAGTTGTTTTCCAAGGTCAGGAACAAAGCGCCCCGGACCTGCTAAAGGCGGAGGTCTCCTCGCAAGAACGTGACATAGCTTCTGTATGCCCAGAGCAGGAGCCTCGGGAAACTGTAGCCCGTGTCTTGAGCATGGTCTGATGTGCTAACAAAATGCACTCAGCAAAACCAGTCTGCAGAGAAATTTTTCTTGGGCAAGGCTAGTGCTCCATCCGGGGACAGTCGAAGTTTCTTCTCTTCTTCATTCATTTCTTCCTACTTTTTTAAAAAGAATTATTTTATTGACATTTATTTATTTATTTTTACTTGGCCAGAGAGGGACAGAGCGAGAGAGAAAGGAAACGTGAGAAAGCAAGCCGCCAGGTCCAGGACTCTAACCACATTTGGCCACGTTAAGAGTCCAGCACCCTTAACCACCACCAGCCAGCCCTCATTACTTCCTACTTTTAACTTCATAATGTAATTTCTTAATACTCCCTTTACTTTAGTGACGTGTGTGTGCGCGCATGTGTGTGTGTAAGATATATTTGCCTTACGAGCCCTGAGTCCCTTTGGGAAGAAAACCAGAAACCCTACCGAGAGAAGTTATCCAAATTATATTCCTAGAGCAGGAGTTGCACAAATAACTACCCCTTCTTCAAATGATTGAAATAAGAGCGATCATGGGGCCAGCAGGTGGCGTGGTGCTTAAGGCACTGGATCCCATATGGCCAGCTCTGCTGTTGGAGTCCACCCACAGTGACTTGAAAAACTCTCCGCATGCCTGCGTGTGGGTGCCCCAAATCCTGAGAGAACAGAGAAAGGACGGTAGGTGACTTCTCACTGTTGCTCTATGTCACTCTCTGTTTCTCTCTAGCAAGCACAGGAGCCCTATTGCAAAAAAAAAAAAAAAAAAAAAAAAAAAAAAAAAAACACAGGGGAAAAAAGAGAGCAAGAGATATCTTGGGATCCAAGCACAAGTGATTCATAAACTGGCCTATGAGGTGACCTGGAACAAATAGTTCACACCAAACAGGGCCTCTGATCATTAGTCAGCCAATCAGATTCTCCCTTAGAAATTGAAAGTAGACACTATAGAGGATGAGTCATCTGATAGGCTAGGGTTTAGATAAGATGGGGCGGAAGAGGCCAAAATGGACTTCTGGGAAGTGGAACGTCTGGGGAAGCAGAAAGAGTGAACTAGGAGGTGGGTCGGGCAGAATCCTAGAAACCGAATCTCAGAGAAGCTGAGACCCACTGATGGACAGAAGGTAACGAAGACCTGCCTTCCAGGGCCATGTGAGTATGGAGGTCCTGGGATCAGGCCAGGTCCATCCTCTTCCCACAGCCAGGTCTAGTTACCCTTTTACGACAAATCAGATGGGGTGACTGAATGAGTCTCTGTTCTAACTTCCCATAATGGCACAAATCTAAATTTCTCATGTCAAATGAAGTTTAAGGTGACTCTAGGATTCTTTGAGGCCTGTCTTTCCTATCTTTTCTAAAATCAAGCTGAGAAATTATATTTGGCATCTTTCAAAGTCTACCTAGTACAAAAATTATAATTCAAGAAAAAGTCATCTTTTAGCAATTCCCCAAGCAGGGTCTAGCTATTTTGGCCTGTGGCAGTGATCACTATTGTCAGGTAATATCCAATGGTCGTGTCAGATGCCACTTTGTGTTTGTTTTTGCCATAGGGCATGTGCGTTCACCAGAGAGAGACAGTGAGTGGGAAAGTGAGAAATTATCCTCCACCCTGGGGGATAGCCACACTGCAATCTCTTCTCATCCATTCTCCTCCTGGAAAAAAAAAGAAAAGAAAAAAAGAAAAAAAGAAATTACCTACACTTGCAAAAGTCCTTGTTAATATAAAACATAAGGTTACTCTTTTTAAGATGCTTACTTATAAATTTGCTACAGTAAACATAAAATTCATTTTAATCTATAATGAGTTATAATTCAAGAAAGTTATTCTGATCAAAGGAATATTTTCAAAGAATTATTTTATTTAACTTTATTTAGTTTATTTTAATTTGAACAGAGAGGGTCAGAGAGAGTGAGAAAGCAAGCCGCTAGGTCAGGAACTCGAACAGAGGTCGGCCATGTGGGAGTCCAGCACCCTTAACCACCATGCCACTTGCCAGTCCCTGATCAAAGGAATATTAAAAATTTTGTCAGTTAATATTTTTCATACCCAATTACTATTCATTCAGTTTCCATACAAACTTTCACCATCTTTTCTTTTTCTCTTAGAAATCCTTCATCGTGTACAATGTAAACAGCATGGAAGTTTAATCTAAAAACCAAGTAATAAAGTTCATTAAACAGTTAAGTATTTATTCAATACTGAGGATGTGCCAGCAGGCCAGCCTCTGGCCTAGTGGTTAATGGAGCTGGATTCCACATGGCCAACTGTGGAGTGCGAATCTCAGTCCCAGTGTCTTGAGAAACATATGCATGCCCCAAATCACAAGTTAGAGAAATGGAGGAAAAGGGATTGAGATGTCACCATGCATCATTGGAGGGTGCTTTCTCTCTCTCTCTCTGTCTCTCAGTCTGTCTCTGGTGAGCATACAGGTCCTCTGGCAATTAAAAAAAAAAAAGAACTCATACATTTCAACAATAAAGAAACAACCCAATTTAAAAATGGGCAAAGAATTTGAGTAGACATTTCTCAAAACAAAAAAAGATACTCAGCTGGCCAATAAAGCACATTAAAAGATGCTCAACAGTATTTGTAATTAGAGTAATGCAAATCCAAACCAAAATAAGATACCACTCCAGTTCCAGTGTCTGTAACACAGTTGATAATGTACCAGGCTGCAGAGCTGGAAGCCACATGCCCACGGTAGTTGAAATCCATGATCTGGTCACCTGAAACACACAAATGACCAAGAGGCTTAAGCACCTGAGAAGGGCATGGCCATGTGCCCAAACCTAGTGGAAGGTGCCTCTCTGGCCCTCTCGCTCTCACACTCTCTCTCTCTTGTGTGCATTTTTGCACTGTATCATGTTTTTTAAAAAATGCTATTTCATACCCACTAGAATGACAACAATTTTTAAAAAGAGTGTTGGTGAGCACGTGGAGAAAGTGGGACTCTCAGGATTTGTTGGTGAGAATATAAAATCATGAATGTCCTATAAGAAAAAGTTTGGCAGCTCCTCAAGAAGTTACGTATATCGTTTACATTTTTTGACCCAGCATTTCTACTCCAGTTAGATATCCAAGATTATTAAAAGCAGGGGCTGGCAGGTGGCATGGTGGTTAAGGTGCTGGACCGCAGTTCAAACCTCAGACAAGGTGGCTTGCTTTCTCATTTTCCCTTTCTCTCTCTCTGGTCAAATTAAAAAATAATAACAAATCATTCTTTTTTTAAAAGGCATATACAGACATGAAACTTGTATATGAATTTTTATAACAGCATTTTTTTTGGAGAGGGTTTTGGTTTTCTTTTTTTTTTTTTTTTTTGCTATAGTGCACGTGCACTCGCCAGAAAGACAGAGACAGAGATAGAAAGTGAGAAATCACCCCCCAGGGGGGATGGCCATGCCGTAATCCCTTCTCCTCTATTCTCCTCTTGGGATCTTGGGCATGCACGCACATGTGCCCTGTGTGAGTTTAAGCCACTAGGTCCAGGACTTGAGCCGCAGTCGGCTACATGGGAATTCAGCGACATAGCCATTATGCTAACTGCTGGTCCCCATAACAGTATTATTGATGATTGCCAAAAAGTGGAAACAACCCAACCGGTACACAAATAAACAAATTGTGGTACTTCTACACATTGGAGCACTATACATGCTAAATACAGATGAATCCTTTAAATATTGTGCCAAATAAAAGAAACTAGAAACACGAAGGCCACATACTGTACAATGCTATTTCTGTGAAAAACACAGAGAAGCAATTCTAATACATTTGTGCTTGCCAGAAGCTAGGGTAGGTGGGACTGGGATAGTAACAACTAGTGGGCATGGGATTTCCCCACCCCCTATTTTTTTTTTTTTTGGCTTTTGCTTTTTGTGATAGGACATGTGCAGTCACTGGAGAGAGAAAGGAAAAGTGAGAAATCACCCCCTGGCTATGCCACAACCCCTTCTTCTCCATTCTCCCCCTGGGATTTTGGGCGTGCATACACACGCACCAGGCAAGTTTTTCAAGCTGCCAGGTCCAGGACTCCAACCACATTGTTGGCCATGTGGGATCCAGGATCTTAACCACCTCACCACCTTTTGCCCATGGGATTTCTTTTTGTGGTGATTAAAAATGTTCTGGAATTATGGAGCTGGCAGGTGGTATGGTAGTTAAGGATGCTGGACTGCCACATGGCCAACTGCAGTTTGAGTCCTGGACCTGGCAGCTTGCTTTCTCACTCTCTCTCTCTCTGGTACAATTAAAGTAACAAAATAAATAAAGTTAAATAAAATAATGCTTAAAAAAGTTCTGTAATTAGATAGTGCTGAAAGTTGACCAGTCCCCTGAAGATGCTGAAAACCACTTTAAAATTGTGACTTTTATGGTATATGAATTATATATCAATTTAATATTTTTAAAAAGAATATACCCATTAATAAATGATTTATAATTCAGAGATAAATCAGAGAACAAATAAAGATGACTTAGCTTAAGACAAAACAAAACCCGTTGAACAAAAGGTTTGACCTGACTCAATAGCTCTATCTAGGAAGAGTTGCATTTCCCTACTGCTGTTTTATTCATTCATTGATTTATTCATTCATTCATCAAATATTCATTGAAAACCATTATGTGCCAAGTGTTTTGTGTCTGTTTCTCAAAGCTTGGCCAAAGACGACAACATTCCCATATGAAGGAGAACATTCTTTGTCAAGTGACCAAGACAATTCTTCTAAACTGCCTTATTATAAATGTAAATCACCATGATTTCTAGAATTTTTATTAAGGTATTTTCCTGTTTGTTTGTTTTCCC